CCCCACGCCCCCGTGTCCCCACACCTCCTGTCCCCCCCGTGTCCCCCTGTGTCCCCTCACCGTTGTTGTGCCCCTCGCACAGCAGCTGGAGCAGCCGGAAGAGATCTTGCGTGAACTCGTCGTCCGACATCACCTTCTCCCCTGGGGGGGACGGGGACAGGGTCACACGGGGACAACACCAGGGTCACATGAGGTCACGGGTGGCCAAGGCCAGGCCATGCCGGGGGGGCCACAGGGTGACATCCCGGGGTGGTGTGAGGACACGCTGCAGTGGCACGGGGACAGCCCGGGGTGACAGCGACACATCAAGGTAGCACAGGGACACCCCAGGGTGGCACGGGGATACCCCAGGGTGGCATTGGGACATCCCGGGGCAGCACAGGGACACCCTAGGGTGGCACAGGGACACCCCAGGGTGGCACAGGGATACCCCAGGGTGGCATGGGGACACCCCAGGGTGGCACGGGGACATCCCGGGGCAGCACAGGGACACCCCAGGGTGGCCTTGGGACACCCCAGGGTGGCGGGGGGTTAGCATGGGGAGGGGGCAGCCAGCGGGGCGAGGGGTCAGGGATGAGCGGGGACAGGCATGCTGTGGGGACGCCGTCGGGGTGGCAGCCAGGGGACATGGGGACATGCCGTGGGACCCGATCCTGCTCTGGGGACAGGGCATGGGGCGGCCATGTCGGTGCCACCCTCCTCCAGCACCCCTCAGCCCGGAGACCCTACAATAACACCCCCCCCAGCCCTATAGACCCTGCAATAACACCCTATAGACCCTGCAATAACATCCCCAGTCCTATAGACCCTACAATAGCACCCTATAGACCCTACAATACCGCCCCCAGCCCTATAGACCCTGCAATAACACCCTATAGACCCTGCAATAACATCCCCAGTCATATAGACCCTACAACAACTCACCCCAGCCCTATAGACCCTATAATAGCACCCTATAGACCCTACAATAACCCCCCCAGCCCTATAGACCCTATAATAGCACCCTATAGACCCTACGATACCCCCCCAGCCCTATAGACCCTACAATAGCACCCTATAGACCCTACAATAACTTCCCCAGCCCTATAGACCATACCATACCCCCC